CGTGGTAGTTATTCCAACGTTTCTATTACGATCAATCTCTATACCATTGAGTTCATAGCGAATCTCATCAAACATAAAAGCTACACAATTATTACCCAGATATACTTCTTCTTCGTCTTTCGTCGTTAACGTTATTTTTCCTTTGACGTAAAGAAAACTTTGACACGGTAAAGTGTACAAGTCCTCCTGTTGTATAGGTATGCGTATCTCATCACTGTGTTCAAATGTCGTGTTCACATACGGATTGTACGTGTGTTTCAATCTTGACAATGCGATCGTCAAAGATCGGCTCGTTCCCAACATTTAAAATGTTGCACATATTTTCAAACTTCTCGTACAATAAATCCCAACGATTGCAAAAATTTACCGTTTATCGAACTTAGCTTCTTCCAATTACTGTACGTCGTAGCAGATGTTTGTAATGAAAACCTCGTATCTCGCGTCACTTGATCCACCTCCTTCAGTACGAGCATGCCGTGTATTACAGTCGACGGCGTCGCACGTGTAACCTGACGGTTATTTCTTCTTTTCGAAAATCAAGCAATTGTCCGTTCTGATCCACAATGCGTATCGTCAGATCCGTAATGCTCTGTACGATGATCGGAAGGTAAATGATCTGTGCCGGTGTTTCCGAGATCTTATATCCNGGTGGCACGTTCGGTGAGAATTCATGTATCGTATGCACACACCGGTTGTTGCTGTACGCACCCGCGGTCACGTTGCATTCTATGCGAATAATGTTTAAGTTGATAATATTAATCGACACGTCTGATACATACTATTGTCGTGGCTCTAAAATACGAGTTAATGAACAACCTAACAACGATCCAATGATGTCAGGTTTTGTAAAATTTATTTGATAGGCACTGTTTAGTTCACTTTTCATTGTGTTGGTGTTTGCGCGTAATATTAGTGGAGGGATGTTCTCATCCTTAGCTTCGCTTTTTGCATTACGTTGCATTATTGCATGTTGCAGATAATTGGTAATATNNCGCAATTCGTACGATCCTTCAGGAATTATAATCTGGTTGTCATCCGTATCGTAATAAAACTTATTTTTCGATGAATTTACGTTTGATATCGTATGATACGTTTCAAAATCTGGTAGTCTAAGCTCGTAATCACCGTCACTTAAATCAATGGCGGGAAAGTAGCTGACTGCAAGGATGCTACTTTTACTGGTAAGTGTGAACGTCAGTGACATGTTGTCGAATGCGTAATAAAGTCTGATAGCGTACTATTTAAAGAAATATAGCTTATCAACCGTTTGAAAGAACCATAAACACAAATGGCCACAATTGCTTTGATTGTAACGTTGATAAGATGTACGGTTATATTCTATTTTGTCCACGGCATGTTGTAAATAACAAACCACCTCTTTTGGTAGTTGAAGATTGCCAAAACTATCAAAATATATGACATGCTTTCCTTTTTTTGCATACGCCACCCAGTGAGTACCTGGTCCATTTGTATCATCTAACTTGACGATACCACTCTCATTACAACGTAGTACGTCCGGGGGTAAGGTATTACGCATAAAAACTCCTCTAAAGAAAGGTATACGCATGCGCTTAGCTAGTTGTTCTAACTGCATATTTGTCGTTACACCTGTAAGTAATTTTAATGTCTTTTCAGTGTTTTTTTCTTTGAAAATCCCCGTCCGTAAGGAATTAGATAAATTCCTCGACCTTCCATCGCGCGATTATGACGTTGCATTTCTTCTAGCTGCCGCTGTGAAGCTCTTGTATCATTTATCATTTTTGACACTCCCGCCGCTCCACCAACGAGCGCACCGAAAACACCCAGCAGCGGTAGGACCGGTAATACACCGTTGTGTTTAGCAATTAGACGTATTCGTTTCCTTTTTGCTGACTTGCTTTTCTTTTTCAAGCCTATNCCGAGTTTTGTCTTTGCTTTCATAGCCGCCCACACGGCGGTCGCAGCTGCTCTCTCACCAAGACTCGAGTCTGCCGCTGGAATACTGTTGGGTTCACGGCAGCGTGTAATTGCGTCACCGCCGAGTTATTGCGCTCCTCGGAAAGAAAAGAGAACACCGCGTATAACACACTAGAGTTTTATTAGAGAACGCGTTACAAAAGGCCACGGAAAACGTTAAGAAATCTCGAGCCGATAATCTAGCCTGTCGACAAATCCGAATCCGGCGGCTCATTCTATTGAACCTCGCTGTAAACAAACCCCGTTGCTACCTGAACAAAAGCGTCCAAGCGATCGATTGTTGAAAATCTTCATATACCGCGTGGACGACACACGCCGCATCTCGCAACAATACAATCGCGCGTTTTTGCAGCAAGTGCGTTATCAGTCACGTGTCGAGCAGCGAGTTCGTTGTTTTGCGAATACGCTATATCGTGTTCACGACAAGCCGCGTCTAATGAATTAATGCCGCGATCGCCTCTAGCTAATCGTTTTTCCAAACGCGTTCCCGGGCCACAAAATTGGTAGCCCGGAATATGTAATTGGACGGGAAGAGCGTTTATCACGCGATTTAACAACCCACGACCTGACATAGATTGCAATATACGTTTGACATTAGCTGTCTTCTGACGACTGAGTAGAAACGCTCGACGCGTCTCTATAAATAGGTGCTCCTCACTATCGCGAGGCAGTTAAAAACAAACCATGTAGTTCGTGCGAAAACCTGTGGCAATTAAAGTAATTAAATTTGACAGCAAAACTCAACAAATGTCCGGCAAGAAAATACGCAAACATGGAATAATGCTACCGGTTACTATACGCGGTATTGTGTGCGGTCCTTTTACCTGCGGCAAAACAAATGTGGTGTTAAGCTTCCTTGAAAGTCCACACGGTGTACGTTTTGAAAACGTGTATTTTAAGTTGTTGCAACAACCAAAATATTAAAGTATCAATATCAGGAGAATATACATTCAGCAGTAGACGAAATCGGTTACTTTACTTTTTTTTAATAATAGCGATGTGATTCCGCCGAGTAAAACTCTTTCGAATTCAATTTTTATCTTTGATGACGTGGCATGTGACAAGCAGGACACGATACGAGAATACTTTGCAATGGGTCGTCACTCGAGTGTTGACTGTTTCTATCTTTGTCAGACGTACGCGTGGATACCAAAGCATCTTATACGTGACAACGCAAATCTGATAATTTTTTTTAAACAAGATGGTACCAATCTCATACATGTGTATAACGATCATGTAAATACGGATATGTCGTACGAGAAGATTTGTATATTATGCCAGAAATGTTGGCAAACCAAATAAAGATTTTTAGTGATTGACAAGGACAGTCCTTTGGACAGAGGTTGCTATAAAAAAGGATTTAACAAGTTCGCAATACCGTCGAGTGGTTAATCGTTGTTGAGACATCAACCAAGTATCGTTTCTCCTACAGTGCGAGCANCATGGCTTCACCTGACAAAAGTAGTAAAATTATAGAGTGCAAGAAAGTAGCAAAGGAGATTGCAAAAACAAGTCAATCCATTTGTCAAAAATATCGCGCTCTGAAAACCGGTAAATTAGAAGAAGAAATTGCATTGGAAAAACAATTCAAACCTATTATCAAACCTCTAAAACAGATTGCTAAAAATACAGAAACTAAGCAAAAGACGTTGAACACAGTGTTTCTCGAAGACACGTCACACAAGACGAAGCGAAAACGAACACAGACATCGAACGAAACACTGTCCCCTACTTTACATAATTCAAAGCGCACACAATATAACACTGCAATTGCGACTTCTACTTTAACGAAAAAACGACAATTGACATGGAATTCTCCATCGATTGACACTATCGTCGCTACTGATGCTACTACCAACAAATCGTTTGAGTCAAATGCAAACGTTAGAGGGTCTTGAAATGTTTCAAAATCATTTTGGTCCGTTGGCGCAACAATATATGAAAGCTATCCTGAGTGGTAAGAAAGAGAAAGATATAGACTACGTATATGGTGTGTATTTCGACAACGATGGAATGATGCTCGGTGATAAGCGTTTTGACGTGGATGAACAAGATAATATAATCATAAACGATATACAATTCAAAGCAACACAAAGATTGTACGAATCGATTCTCATGAAATGTCCAAAGAGCGAGTTATATACCGAGAAAGATAAACAACGATACAAAAAGATATTGGAAATAACACATGCTCATAGAAAGCATCACAACAGGCTCGGTGCAATACTGGGTAACAAGGGATACAAACACAGATACATAATTGCACCTTTAATATCCAGTGTGCGTACTAAGCAGGGGAAAGGTATACCGCGTAATATTACGTTAAGCGATCGTAAAATNGAGTACGCGCACTGGGACGATCCCAACGAAGTTGTCGACCGTCAGCGATTGCTAGACACATTTTGTTAGGCGGGCAACAATGCTCATGACAACAAAATCCTGTCGATCATTGAGGAACTGCGCAAAGCGGGATTCATTATAAATTAAATAGCGCGTCAGCGTTAGAGTCAATCAGTCGTGTGCGCGTCATCATGCCAATTAACAAATTTGGGATATTGCTCAAAACACATGGAGCGTTGATGTATTATTATAAGAGAGAGACAATACTGCAAAATTACGTGCGTAATACCGTTCTCTGCTTTGTCGGTCTTGGCTACGATGCAAGGTCGCGTAAGATACTGCATGTAGCGCAACCTGATACCGACACTGACGCCGCCAACAAACGATATGTAGATATGTGTGTCACGAGTGTGAATGAATGGCAAGAGACACGTGAGAGGAAAATTATCGCATTTCAGCAGGATGTGCAAGCGGTGCGCGACGCTATAAAACACATTCAGCGTACACTTCAATATCTATCAAACCAAAATAAAACAACTGACACGCCGGAGTAAACATATAGTAAGACACCTATAGCGAAAAATCGTTCTACAATCGAAAAACAACGTCTCGTAGAAGAATTGCATGCTCCGGCAAGAAATTTTCCCTGTAGACGCGTTATCGTACGCGGGTACAATAATTTCTGGCAAGCGGATGTGGTAAATATGCGTCCGTATTTGCGCTTCAACAGAGGCTACCACTACATACTTACGGTTATCGATGTGCTGAGCAAGTACGCGTGAGCCATACCGCTTAAGAGTAAGAGTGGATATGAAGTCGCCAAAAGTTTTGCAGGAATATTTTGGAATAACAAACGATGTCCAAACAATTTGCAAACTGACCGTGGAAAGGAATTCTACAATATAGATGTACAAACAGTAATGAACAAGCATAACATTACAATATTCCACATATTCTGTTAGAAAGGCTTCAATTGTAGAACGATTCAACCGTATGTTGAAGAACGATATGTGGAAACAATTTACACTTAACAGAACTTACAAATGGATCGACATATTACCGCGTCTTCTTATGGAGTACAACGCGAGAAAACGAACTATGCGACCTATCAATGTTACTTCAGCAATCGCCGAAAAGCTCTTAACCACGGTGTACAGCAATGTCAAGATCGCAAGGCCAGCACGATTCAAAGTAGGTGATCCGGTACGTGTGAGCAAATTTCAAACAGTATTCGATACAAGATATACGCCAAATTGGACGACCGAAGTATTTAAAATCAATAAAATACAACNGACCTATCCTGTGACGTATCTGCTTGAGGATTCACGCGAACAATCTGTTGCTGGAGGATTCTATGAATACAAACTGCATCGCGTTGCGCAAGAAAAGTGGTGCGCATGGTATTGCTCAAGAAAGGTGACAAAGTTTATGTGAAGTGGCTAGGATTAGACAAGTCATACAACTCTTGGATACATAAAACTAATGTATTGTAAACACACTATATACAGAATTTACATTTATATACAACATATGTACATAATTATTACATATATTAAATGACAATATACATATAATCTATATTATACACGGTTTTNTTGTGGTATTTTGTAATGTCCCCATGGTAACGTTTCGGTAGAATCGGGTACCATATACCGCTTATCGTCGTACGGACTTAAGTTTCGATTCGGACACAGTGTATACTTCGTGTAACTTTGATCGTATACACGCCTGTCGACAAATCTTTTCGATTTCATCATTCAAACATTGTTTGTAATCGTCAAACGTTAATGTTTTTGCTACGACGCTACTTTTTACACCTTTGGCCTTTTTCGTGTCTTTCTTTCCATCTACCTCTAATGCATACATTTTCGCTCTAAGTCCGACGAATTCAGTCATTATCATTCCGTTATTTTCATCTTTCATAAATCCTGGAACCTTTTTGTTTCCGCGTGGCATACCGTACACGTTATCAGTCGGATAANCACTCGTGTCGAATCAAGCAATGTCACGTTTCATGATATCGTACACGTTCTCGCATTCGCTGATATAAATGAGACTGTCTGTGTCGGTGTACATAANTTTACATTTTTCTTGGTACAGAGGTGCCATGTAATCGTGGTGAAATTCATACAAACACGTCTTAGATATGTCTAATACACACATTCCTACGTAGATTTGTGTGTTGAATTTCACTTCGAGTTTACGCAATTTAATTGCAATAAACTTTTCAGAAAAGACGCTTTGACTATGAAAAGTTGGTTAAGAGATCAGTGCTTCCGCACCATATCTTCCATCCCACTTTGTTACGAGTTTTACGTCTACATGGTTTCGCACATTTTCCATAGTTTTACCAAACACTGCGTTATTCATCAATTTGTACAAATTTTTCTCTAAGTTGGTGGTANCAAGCGTTCGAAATTGTGTGTTTACGTCGATGTAACTGCGGAGCCACGGAGATTGCGCAAATTGTAATAAACGTTAGATCTTTATAATACGAAGATCGTGTCGCACACATTGTTGCAGGGCACGACAGTGAATAATATAATGCGATTTATCGTGTAGTGTTGCGAGCAGCTTCTCCTGTCGCTTGCCAGGCGGCTTATCGCGCGTCGAACAGAACGGTAGGCGTGCGCGTCATGCAGTTCGCGAGGATACTCGAGGTCAACTTCAAAGATGTAACCGATATCTGAGGTTACTGTCACAGACATCACGTCGACACTCCAGATGTTGTCTACCGGTAGCTGACACATTGTCCAGCCGTACAAGTTATTTGTATCAAAGTACATGAGATACGACGTTGGTTTTGATGAGTCGTATGTCTGCATGTACTTGTTATTAGCGTGCGCGTATCTTGTGCTGCACTGGCAAAAACCACCGCGTATACCTCGTTCGATAAACATAACCATATCAACATCTGTGAGCAGGTCGAACGGTATGCCTGTGTGTTTCAGCATAGCGTCCCATGTGTAACCGGGTAAAGTATAATAATACGCGAAATCTAATCCGTAACTTCGAATACAACTTTCTCGAAAATTCTCAAATGTATCGGCTAATAATAAAACATCAGTTTTCAAATATAAATCGCTGTATTTACCTAACGTTCGTATAGAGAATCGTTGCCAGATGTTTACAGCGTGTGCATATTCACTCTCAGATATTTTTTCATCGGTCAGAGAACTGTAAAATGACTCGCGCGGTGGTAAACGCTGCTCTTGCAACTTGTCGACACAGTCTATGTATTCGTATGGAAAGAACTCTTTACGCGTTAATACTTCAAAGTTTTCGACGGATAAATTTCTGAATTCTGATTGTACAATTTTCAACTTATCTTTATGAAGAAACGATGCTAGTTTATCAAGACTAGCGCTGAGAAATTTGTACGAATCAATGAATCGCAACTCTATATTGTGACTTTTTTGAGTGTTTTTTTCCGGTTGCGCTACGTTCTTGGAAAAGGATATATATTTCTTCTTGTTAATAGGGAAAACAGTAACTTTTCCTTCAAACGCAGTTGCAACCTCTTTAATAATACAGTGCGCATTGTAACCGAATAAATTGTGAACAATTACTGGGATACAGTGTGAATCTTTATAATTTAAGTTGCAGTTGAAGTGCGCGGGACNTCTGTACCGACCGGGTATATGACAATGATCGCAAACTTTTATATCATCTGCTGCAAATGGTTTTTTGCACACATGACAGTGACTCGCGTTACGATAAACTGACCTTTGTTCTTTCATTAACGTTTCCATAGGCACATTGATAGATAAAATTGTTCTTACTCAATTAGCCAATTCTTTGAGTTCATCGACGAACCATGCGATGCAATCTTTGCCGCGACGACACCGATAATCAGAGATGGAGTCGTTGTATGAGCAGCGGACGTAATATCCTATGCTGAACGCCTTGTGATGTTAATACGCATAGGATGTTTGCTGCTGCGTCTCTCCATCAGTTTTGTGTAATACGCTCTCAAGGTCAGCGTATACTACGAATGGGAAGCGTTCTTTCCTACTGTGGTTGGTAAAACTGAGCCACTTATTTTCTTCCATCGGCAATCGAATTGCGCAGTTGTTTAATTTTNCGCAATCTATGTTGTGAACATTCAATTTGTCCAGAGAATAGAAGTAGTGTTACTATCTGCAAATATATATTACTTTTTTCATATTGTCACACATCCTATATACATATATAACGCAAAAGCATTATTTTGCACATCCTATGTACATATATAACGCAAAAGCATATCTGTCACAAATATATTTTTTGTGTTCCTTCTTACTCAGTTGTGCGCTCACCAGTCGAGACAGATTCTTTATACACGTAAAGTGTCCACGATCAACGTCTCGTGAATCCGAAACATAGAGCAAGTTCACGTGTTTCTCTCTTTTTTGCTCTGTAAGTCGTATTGGAAGAATGACAAGTTTGTTCTTCTCCTTATTTCTCTTCAATTCCATGTTGTACACATTGACGGAGATGTCGTTGAGCCGTTCAAATTTTGATATTTGGTGTATACTCATTGGAAACTCAATGTTCTGTAGATTCAGTACTGTTGTATAGTGAGGATACAATGATGTGCGTTCTACATGTCTTGCGGTTGGATAAAGAGCGACGACCACCGACCATGCAAAGCATGCAGTGTCTTCAGATAACACATTAATTACCGCTTTTTTATACTTAATTTCTGGTGGCAAATTTATATGACATTCTGCACGCAATAGATTATATTTGTTCACGTTTACAGTTAAAATTAGTATACGTGACAAGGAAACCCACTGTCGCGCTCTTGAAATTCATCTAAAGACGCTAACGTAGATTCGATAATGTATCGCTCATACCAGTCGTCTAAATTAGTTGTACAAAAAATTTCCGAATTTTTGGTAGTTATACTTTTATTGGTCCCGATACAAAATTACCATTGAACGTTATATTTATTTTCAGATTATTGTTTTTCAATGGCATTTTGCACTTTTTCCAACACCGTGCTTCTCGCGTGTTTAAGAAAATGGCAAGGTTCAACGTGATTTTCGTTGATGATAGCATCCGTCATTAGTCTACTCTCAAAAGCGGTGTCTATTTCTTGCCATGTAAGTTCATGTCCGGCGCCAATATATGCAAACTGTCGACGCAGTGANTTTTTTAATCTTATGAGTCGGGCAATTCTAGCGACTAGCGATTGTCTGACTCTTACAGACAGTCGCGGACGTTTGTTCCGACTATGTTCTTCTAATAATTCGAGACATTCTTCACGACGCTGCTCCCACACGACAAACTTTTCTCGTGAGTTCAAACGAGTCGACTGTTCCAATACATTGCGCTCTAATTGCGCGATTGTTTCCATTTTTCACTCTTATAACACTTTGGTTTCGAGACACAGAGCAATTGATTACTTCAACCGTTTTCTGATAAAATATTAATTTTATGCAACGGGTTTTGCTTTTTTATAGTGCATTTTTGCTGATGCTACGTATTTGCTGATGTTGTAATTTTGCATATTAAACTATTAACCCATCTTTGTTTAATAGAACTGACATTTGATACATAAAAAAAAGTGCAACGTTTGCAAACTTTGATAGGATAAAATCAAAAATATCTGATATCCAACAGAAGTGCATTTTGCACAATTTATGAGTCATATGTAACAATTGCGCAATCGTTATTTTCTACTACGCAGGTAGCAATTTGTGCTGACACCGGCATTTCTTTTTTAATATAATATATAATAGGATTATGTTACTTTACTACGTGATCAAGTCGATGAAATCTGATATATGATAAAAATTGCATATTTTGCAGAATTTATGAGTTATTTCTCCATCATTTTTTGATACACAAAAAAAGTGCAATGTTTGCAAATTGTAACTTTGAATATGTGATAAAATCGATGATATCTGATATCCAACAGAAGTACAGTGTGCGGAATTTATGAGTCATATGTAATAATTGCGCAATTGTTATTTTTTACTACGCCGTTAGCAATTTGTGCTGACACCAGCATTTATTTTTTAACTTTAATATATATTAAGATTATGTTACTTTAATATGTGATCAAGTCGATAAAATTTGATATCGGGCAAAAACTGCATATTGTGCAGAATTTATGAGTCATTTCATCATCATTTTTTTTCTTCAATACGCAGTTAACAATTGTTGCTGTCATCAGCAGGTTTATTTAATATAAGTATATGTTCCTTAACCCTTTTTTGCATGATGATGGAAATTTTAATCATAACATTTAGTGAAGAAAAAAAGGTACTCAAAAACTGTAAACTAAATGTGACAAAAAAAAAAAAAATAAAAAAAATAAAAAAAATCATGCAAAGAAGGGTTAATACATGATCAAATTGATTTAGCGCTAAATGTCGTTATTATTCACGACGCACGAGTTGTAAAATTTACATTACACGATAAGTGTTTGTAGGGTAAATCAACCA